ATAATAATAACAAATGAGAACGTGAGCAAAATTCAATTAATATCTATTCGAACGTGATATTTTTCGTCGATCGATCGATTGATTAATAATAAAAAAAAAAAATTAAATATAATTATCTTTTACGTATGTCAATTTATGACACATATATTTAGATGATGTCGGCGATTCAATACGCTTAGATATTTACGGAAGTAACTAATTACAAAGCATGTTTTACAAAATAACGCTTCATTGATAAAAAAGACACGACAAGATCTATTATAAATGAAGAAAATGATGGTCCTTTGTTGAGCGCACTCAAAAAGAAAAAAGGGATGTCTCTTGAATAATAATAATAATAATAATAATAACAGTAGTATAGTCAACAAATATGAGTGTAAGTATACGAAAATAGAAACAAAAGCAGTTGGTAAAAGAATAGACTTCCAGTAGAAAACTCTAAATATAGAATTTATTAAGTTATTCAATCTTTATTGTTATATAATTTTCTTTTTATCTGCATTAACATAATCTTTTAATGAAACACGCATACCTAAAGATTAAACGAAAGAATTATTTTAGGTTTTTTATACTATCAAGTGTGTTTCCATAGGGTATTGCACCTAACATTGATTGTCTTATATAGCCTTTGATTTATAGGATATTTACAACTTTGTATTTATGATTAAATATGGTAGAGTCGTATTCTTTAGATCGGTTTGCTTACTCATGTATGCAATTCTCAAGCAAATACAATGGTTTTGCTTTTTTTTTTTTGGTGATAAATTATAAAGAAAAACAGAAATACCTTGACAAGAAAAGAAAGGAGAATAAATAAATATATTTTGATTATGATTGATTCTTATTTATATGTTGAACAAAACAAGAAAAAAGCACAACTTTTATTTTTATTTATTCATGATATTTCTTTGTTTTTATATTTAACGCCATTGATAAAAATAAACCCAATCAATTTCCATACGACGTGGATAAATATTTTCATCTAAACCTTGTGCACCACCCCTACAAATAATACAAATTGAAAATTTTATTTTTAGAAAAATAATTCTTGTACGTACCAAAAACCACCAACAGCAATATTAAGAATAACAAAAAATGGTTGATCAAATGGCCTATAGAAAATTTTGCAATAGATAATAAAAAAGAAGAAGAAGAAGCTAGAAACCTACCATTTTGTCCAATCTCCTTGTTTATTCCAAATGAAAATTCTTGTTTGAAATGGATTAGCTTCATCACCAACAAACATTTCAATTTTATCAACATTCCAATCAAGTGTATAGATTTTAAAATTATTTGTTGCATCACCAACAATAACAGAATTACTTGGATGAGTGCCTAATATATGATTATTAGCTTGTGTATGAACTGTTGAATGAATACGTAATGGATCATAACCAACTTGTTCCATTAAATCTATTTCACCGTTATCTGGCCAGTAAGCACCTCCATAAACTTGTCGTTCAGGTAACTAATATAATTATTATTATTATTCTTAATTGAATTATTTAAAAAATATTCTATAGAAACTTACCATCCAAAGAGCGGGCCAAAGACCACGACCAGTTGGAAGTAAAGCACGAATTTGTAAACGACCATATGTCCATTTACCTTTACTTTTCATACGAGCAGATGTAAATCGACGACCATTGTCCCAATTTTCCTAATGAAAAAATTGACTTTTATTTTAAGAATATATCTCCACCTATTGTTTTCTTACTTTACGTGCTTCAATAATTAAACGACCATTTCCACTACCGGGAAAAAGTTCACAACGAGCATTTTCCATTCGATTATGTGTATAAAATTGTTCTTCATTATTACCTATATATTTAAAAAATTAAAAGAAAATTATTTTAATTAATAAAAACAAAATTCAAACCCCATCCATGTCCACCAATATCGAAATCCCATTTGTTCGTATCAACACCACCATTCCAATCGAAATTATCTTCCCATACACGAACCCAATCAGCTCTACTTACTGCCACAATACACCATAGACATATCAATGATAGATAACTCTTCATTTATACTTTTTTTTTCACTTTCAGGTATTAAATGAAAACAGCGTACATTTTATAGGAAGAATTAGAGAGAGAAAAACAGAAAAATAACTAACTTGATATCATATAATCTATCATTTGATACTGATAATATGTGTGCACAATAATAAATTGAAATGAAAAAAAAACCCTTTACTCCTGATGTCCCTGGACGTTGCCTCTTTAATATCATGAAAGACAATTCGTTATTCATGTATACAAGATATTCGAATTTTCTTTTGCATGATTTACATTGTATAATAAGATTTGATTGTTCATAAAAATCGCATCAATAAAGAGACACAATATTGTATAATTTTAAATTCTACTACGCAATTGCCATCTATTGATAACAATTAAAATATCTTAATCATATATCGAATTTCAACAATTAACTGTCCTACCAATATATCGATCTTTGATCCTGTCTATAACAGGTGGGAGAGATTAGATGCACTTCAAAATTCAAATATAGTACTTTTATCTATTTGAAACTATCAAACAATAGTACTTCTATTTAGTTTTCTGATGATTTTCAAAACAGGTTATCTGTTACATTAGGAGTGTACGTATATGTTATTTTTATCATGAAAAATAAGAATTTCTGCCTTCTCCACTCGTGAAATCGAAGTATAGCAGTGAACCTTTTCGAATATTTGAATTGAATGATAAACTTTTGTAAAAATAGACTATAATTCAATTTATTCTTGCTTGTATCTATATTAATTATCAGTTCTAATCAAAAATAATAAATATGTTATATCATCATCTAGACACTATAAGAATACGTCTAACGTGATGCGATTTTTCAATGACCACTTAAAACACTCCATACAAAATAGCTGTATCGAGTGGATTATCGTTATTATTACATATTGTATAGAAGAAGAAAAAAAATGATTGTCATAAGTTTCTTTTTTTTGTATATTGTATTAAACTTATTTTTCTATTATTCATTAAAAACATTTCCGAGAATATATCTTATTAATAATTCAAACATAAAAAGAAGAAAACTTTCAACGTGTTAGTATTTTTGCTTAATTTACACTTCTATATTTCTGTATAGAGTTGTTAATAGTATTTTATAGAAATAGAACGATGAATTTTTTTGTTAATAATCATACAAGACTTATTATTCAGTCTCAAAGGTCTTCATGACAATAAAATAATCGATTAACATTAAGAAAAAACTAATATTTGTAAGTTATGTCATTTTACTAATAAATGTTCTCATGAATAATTTCTTTCATGATATCAAAGTTTGATTTATTAATAGAATACACCTAGTCAAAATATCAGGAACAAACAAATGTTCATTTTCCCATAGAAATTCTTATCTTAAACAAATAGATAAATATTTTTTATGTTATTCAATCTATTAAATTAATTGTTATTGTTGTTTTTTTTATTGCACTGTTTATTTATATTCTTTATGATTTTTTTCAAGTTAGATTATATAAATGAATGATATTCAAAAAAAAATAAAATATAATCTTTTCTTCCATTTCATTTTAAAATACATATTTATTACGATATTCTCGTCGGCGTGGTTTTGTTTTATGTTGCATCATCATATGATGACCACCTTGTATAGGTTCACCAGGAGCTGGACCATTTGGCGGTGGTGGTATACGAAATGCACTTGCAGGAATTTTATCAACATTTAAATACTAAATAAATAATTAAGAGAAAATTAAACATATTTTAGAAATAAATATACTTGATTATTTCTAAAATAATATGATGGAGGTCCGGGACTTGTACAAACATCTTCACGTAATAATTCATCACCATCAACCCAATACATCATATAGAAGTTACACATTTCATCGTTTCCAGTTTGACTAATCAAGAAATAAAAAGTAGAAATATTTAATTTAAACCATAAAAAAATATCCTACCCAATTTTAACTACATGTGATTGAGTATTGTACATTGTACAAGCAGCAGCAACATAATCACCTTGTTTAATTGTAACATCATTTTCAGTTGGATAAAACATTTGAGGTAATTGTGGTGATCGTCGACCGATTTCTGTCCATTCTTGATCATCATCTTCACCACGTACTCGATATCCAGAATTCACAAGACCTGTATATCGACATTATTAAATACATGTTTTATTAGGAGAAGAAGAAAAAAACGCTCTCTTACCAAGTTTATGAGCATGAGTACGAAAAGCAAATGGATGCATTTCAATATTTTGTTCAATTTCACAAGCAACTTCGAATACTTCTAAAAAAATCGAAATATTTTTTAGTAAAATAAAAAAACAAATATTTCTAAAATATATAAATATGTGCAGAAAGAATAAGATGTGAACTAACCTTCGACATTCGGTTGTATACGACCTCCAGTCAAAAGAAGAAGAACACCAGCGCGTTTAGGTGTGCTATATAAAAACACAACGGACAAGTGCAAATAATAACAAACACACACGAAAGCATAGAATATGCACTACAAAACTTATAATAATGAAAATAATAAATTACCAAGTGAATGAGGTGCCATTTCACCATCAGTTGATAATAACAATACACCAGCAGTTTTTGGTAATCTTTAGAAAAAGCACACATCAAGAAAAAAAAAGTCCTTCCATTTTCCCCAAAAAGTAATAGCGTTAGAAGACTATAAATCACTAGTGTCGAGAAAAAAAAGGATTTATTTTACTTACGCAACAGGCGATGTTGTAAGAATTAAGCCAGAACGATCAGTTTCACCAGCTAGAAAAAAAAAGTTTTATCTTTTTTTGGTATAATCATAAATCAATCAATTACCTTCAAATTTATCGATATTAGCATAATGGACTTGTAATACAAGATATTTTATTGATGTTGCACCACCAACTTTAAAAGCAACATCTGCAAAAAAACAAAAAGTTTATTTTATTTTGAAAAAAATGTTTTTCATTGAAATTTTAACCTTTTGGTAATTCAGTTTTATCAGCATCTAAAGCCCAAGCATAAATAATAGTTGAACCTGACGCACATGTTGGTCCTGTTGCGTAATTTTGTCCAGAATGATCATTTGAATGACTCATTTCTCCACAATTCCTACAAAACAACTTGATTGTTTTCATAAAATCATATTTTTTTAAAATCCTACCAAATTTTATCACTACTGCCTGGTTCTGAACATCCAAAAACTAACATATGATGCGCATCCTTTGATGATGCTGATGGATTAAAAGCCGCTATATAATCAAACAATTAAAAATATATGATTAATTTATTAAAATATAGGAAACTAACTTATATAAGTTGGTTGATCTTCATCCATTTTGAATGCGGTACATAAATAATCGTCGACCTAATTAAATTAAACAATAATATTTTTTTTTGTTTTATTATACTAATTATGACGTATTTACATGTTTTGCAGTAGCATCAGGCATAAGAATATTCAATGTATTTGATGCTTCATCTGCTGCTATGAGTAAAAATATTGAGGAAAAGCTTAAAATGATGGATAATAAGTTAGACATTCTTAGTCTAGAAAAACGGAAATAGTATTAGAAACAAAAAAAAAATGAGTAATGTGCCACCATGAATCGGGTACTTCCATCACGGTCCTCGTCGACATCAATTCTTTTTCCCATTCGACTAGATTCTATTGCGTTAGCATGTTGTTCTACTATAGTTGTCGTTACAAACAGATCAGAAAAAGAACAGAACCGACTTATAAAACATGGCAATATTTTTTTTCTTTCTTTCTCTATATATAACACAATATTAAAATAGGCTTTTTTTTATTAACATGTTTTTCGTTGATAAGTTTTATATGAATTTGATAACATATCACCAACATCATTTGTCTTTTTAGTAGAAAATAAATTTGATTGTTGTTGAAAATGATTATTCGAAAATTTTGAATATAAACCATTCATATGAATGTTTAATGCACGATTTGTTAAAGATGATGGAGAATAGTTATATAAATTCATTTCACCGTTACGCTCACACTGGTTCTGTTGATTGACTGTATTACTATTTCTATTTTGACAACAATCTATCGGATGACATAAAGCTTGTCGTTGTTGTCCACAATGACTAGTCATCATTTTTGAAGGTTGATATCCATATGTATACTGCTGTGAATACAAAGTTCGATTTTGTGGATGTTGTATTAATGATTGGCATCGTTGATTGTCCCAATCATTTGTTATTTGGTTCGTGTTATTATCATTACAAAGTTGCGTGCTGTTAAATCGTTGTTGATTATTCCACTTTTGACTAGTAGAACAATTATTTGGTGTGCATAATTGGCAATTATTCAAAGGGTAATATTGCTGTTGATTATTTTGCATACTTTCAATCGATACAAAAAGAAATTTAATCGAAAATAAATTTTAATGAAAACTGTTGTCCAGGATATAAAATATAGATGAATTTTATTGCGCAATCAAAATCATAAAACAACTAATCAAAGAAAGATTTAGATTAAATTAGTTTGAACTTAAATCGAATACAAGAAAAGGTCTTGTATTGTTTGAATAGTAGATATATAAATGGAATATATATTTATTTTTCTTATGAATATACCATGTGTATTAATCATATGGAAATATGTAGTTGATTAATTCAAATTGAAAAATCACACAATAACATTTGGTATAATAAGATCGAATATATGTCATATATTACTTTAATAAATACCATATGATGTATCATTTCTTTGTCCTTTAGAAACATTACGAACAGTGATGCAACTGTTGTATATTTAGTTTTGTTTTTTTCGATACTAATATACTTGTCAATACAGCTGATACAACGATTTTGGTTTGACATATTTTTTAATGTCATTCTCTTTTTCTTATTTTTCTTTGTACACTTGTATATTGTGAATGTAAGTAGAATATGAAAGAGATACTTTAGAAAATATATTGAAAAAGACATATTTGAACTAGAATGTTAGACTAAGATAATTGAAGAAAACTGATGAAGGATAGAAACAGAGAACAAAAAAATGTCATTTTGTTGCTCAGCGATCAACATTTTGAAAGAAATACAAACTTTACCCGTCACTACCAACTCTCCCGCCACATATTATTCATTAATCATATCATTGAAAATTTTCAGTTATATTCAGTCTATTTACTCTTTACTTCAATTAAAAGTTTACCATATTTACATACACTCAAATGTCATAAAAAAGTGAAGGAGATGTATAAATGGATGTACATCGTCTAATGATTAAAAAATTTCGATATTTTTTCCTGTTCTTTTTAAAAATATTGCTATGATATGAAATACTATCAAACTCACTTGTTCTAGTCAGATGAATTGTGAAGAGAATATAATAACTATAAAGTGATGACATAATCCTTGAATAATATTTTATTCTCTTTAAACTTCTTTATTTTTTTTTCTGTTTCTTCCTCTTTGTTCATACGTAAACCGAACGCAAAGAGAAAAAAAAAGGAATTCATTAAAATTCAATCGACTCAACTACGAACAATAGACAAGTTTATGCACTGATCATGCTAGTAGATGAAGTAAAGGTGAAAGGAGAACGAGAAAGAAATCTATATATGATGCATTTATGGTAGCCTGTTTATGTTTTTGTTCGTTTATTAGTTTGATAATAAAATATAAATTCTTCTCTCTGATTTAACAATGTAAGTAGATAAATTATCTTGTTACATTTACTTCATTTTATTATTTATAAATAATATGATATAGATGCAATTTTTCGTAAGACAGAAATGTAATATGTAAGATAATACGAAATATTGATGGAAGAATGTTCGTTTAAATTGATTTGTTCTGTTTTTCTCTCACATTCACAAGATCATTTTAATAGCAAAAAAATGGAATAGAAGAAGAAGAAGAGAACAAAAGTAAATATAGTTTTATTCTACATTACGAGAAGAATGTGATGCGAAATAGAGTCAAAATAACAGCTGCTGCTGCTTATTATCGATAATAAAAACAAAACGAACCATGAAGTTTAAAGCTATAACCTTCATTGCTTTTTTTTTCATAGTTGTTAAATGCATAATAAAAAGCAAATAAATGGATATATAATATCTTTGACTATTACTTTTCTCGATAAATTATGAAATCGATTGGCTAACGATGAGTTTTAGGGTATATTCTGTTAGTACAATCTCCAGGTATGTGCACGAACTTGATGATGAGTTACATGAAGAATTGTTATATAAGAGAGTAAATTCTATTTAAAAATACTTAAGTAATACAGTTCGAAATTTGATCATTCTATTTATTTGAAAGAACGAGAAAGAAAAAAAAACTTTATTCAAAATGTCTATTAACAAAAAAAGAGTAAAGATAAATATGAGTTTTTTCTTATATGTACTACACTCACAATAATTGGTAACTATTTACAAATAGAACACGTGTTTTTTTTATTTCATTTTTCCATTTTTAACATACTATATTCTAGATCGATTGTCTATATATGTATATATATGAATGTAAATTATTTTTCTTCTAAAATATATACAAATAAATCGTTATTTCTGAAATGTTTCCAATTCGTCGATTTGGAACATTTATGTCAAGAATATCTTTGACTGTTCTTCTTCTGTCAGCATCTTTATTTTTTATTTTTGGTTTTAAAAAATATCTTTCTCAAACTGATAGTCAACAATATGTACCAGCTGGAAGAAACTTAATTAAAAAACATATTCATGAACATCATGATCATGATCATGATCAACATGATGTTATTCAACAATCTCAATCTATTATTCGTCAAGTAAGTGTTAAAAATATATTAAATTTTATATAAAAATATTCTATAGGAAGTAGTTAAGTTAAATATTGATCCAATTGAAAGTATTTCAACATTAGAAAAACGTCGATTACTTCAACAGAATGATTCAGCAGCAACAGAAACAACTAAAATTGGAGAAAAGACAATAGCAGTTTATGTACATTTCGATTTAAAAGGAGCTGCACCAAAACTATCTTATTTTGAACAATTATTTCCATTAATACGTAAATGGGGTGCAACAGGAGTATGCATGGAATATGAAGATATGTTTCCATTTGATGGAATTGTCAGTAATATTACACATAAACAAGCTTATACAAAGAATGATATTGAAAATATAAATAAACTAGCAAAAGAAAATCATTTAGAAGTAATGCCTCTGTTACAAACTTATGGTAAGTCATTTTATCAAAGATATTATTATATAGAAACTAAGGCAAACGATAATTTTTGTTTTTATTATTCTATTTATACAATATGGAAAAGCTAGAGGTTATATTCATAAGACATTTGCTAATGATTAAGAATATAAGAAGAACAAATATTTTTTTTAAATTTTAGTGATCTAATCATGATAGAATAATATTTAAAAGGTATATAATACATTAAATCTTTTACAAACAGTAATAACGTCAACGAATAAAAATCTTTTTACGATCAAATAGAATTGTTTTGCTTTCCATTAGAAGATTTGGAACTTTTTAATATATTCTATCAAAATAAATTAAAAATGCTAAAGAAGATATTTGAATAAAGTATAGAAAAACATTCGACTACTTCACTGGATAGAATATAATCGAAATCGATATTAAACCTATATTGATATATTAGTCTATTTATTGAACTGAAGAATATCTTAAGTAAATTAGCCGGCTAACGATTTATGATATACTGTAAATATAAAAACTAAAATTTTTATATATTTTTTTCTTCTAGGTCATTTGGAATTTTTATTAAAATTAGAAGAATTTATTGATGTACGTGAAAATCCTAGATATCCTCAAGTGATAACTCCTTGTACAAATAAAACCTATCCAATACTATTTGCTATGATTGATCAATATTTAAGTTTACATCCAGATATTCGTTTATTTCATATTGGTCATGATGAAGTTTATTATTTTTTAACACACCCATCATGTGCAGAATTTCAACGTGTGACTGGCATTCGAAGTCAATATGATTTGTTTGCTTATCATCTTAGTATAATAGCTAAATATATTCGAAAGAAAAATCCTAATATACGTTTATTTATTTGGCATGATGTGCTACAAAATTTAAATATGGAAATGATACATAAATATAAGTTAATAGATTTAATAAATCCTGTTCTATGGTCATATAGAGAAGATATGACTGTTGAAGGATTTGCTAGTTCTTCACAAGCTGCTCTTTTTGGACAATATAAAAGTTTATGGGGAGCATCAGCATATAAAGGTTCAACAAATGAAATTGCAACTACTAGTGATGTTAGACATCATTATGAAAGTAAGCGAAGAAATAGATTCAAATTTCAGATTTTTATTTAAATTAAGTGTAGATCAAGTCTCATGGATAAAACAATTAAAGTTATATATTCCAACAACATGGGCAAATTTTGATGGAATTATGATAACTGGTTGGTCACGTTATGATCATTTTCTTTCATTATGTGAATTATTACCTTATTCAATTCCTTCACTGGCTTTTTCATTAGCAGCTTGGAGAGAACCATTTAAAAGTCTTCCAAAAATGGATATCTATGAAAATAAAGAATTACAAAAATATGTACAAAATGAACTTCAATGTTCATCAGCTATTCATTTAACTGCTCAAGAACATGCAATTAAACAAGGACCAAAGTATGATTTAATTTTAAGAATTTTGTTTTACGTATTTATTTAATTAATTTTAGATGTAAATTTCCTGGTTCTAAAATTTATGAAGCATTAATGTCTTTACCATCTCTATGGGCTAAAGTTGACGAAGCAGAATTTTTTGTTGATAAATATGTAACTGATCTTCATATTAAATTCAATTATATTCATGTTAAACGTGGAGAAGAATGTTTAGATAAATTAAACCCAGTTGTACCTTTATTAAAACAATTTATCGATTCATTTAGAAAATCTATGGATGAAGTATTTCCACCACAAGTTGCTATTGAATGGTTAGAAACTTATTTTATGAAATCTTATCGTTCAGTCATTCACAGATATGAATTTATTAAACGTGCTGTTAAAGAACAGAAAGCTTGGTTACCCAGACCGATACCTGACAATGACACACTGGAGATGAATACAAAAAATAAAAGATAGTGATTTGATAAACCTATAATTGATTGTAATTATAACCCCCGGTGAATCTTGTTTTTTTTATTTAGGTATAGATGATTTTATTTAATGTATCTTTTTTTTTCCAATACATGTTAAACTATAATAATATGTGAGAAGATTCAATTTATTTATGACATTAGCTTTTCAAGAGTGATCTGTTTGAAATGTAGATAATCGAAAGAATGTTCCAATAAAATATCTTAAAAGATAGACAAGCTTTTTAACTTTTATTATTCTGTCGAATGTGTTGCTTGGAAAAGGATGTGCGTGTGATAAAGAAGAGATAAATCCACACCGACACCTATGCTCTCTAGTTAATCGATAGTTCAAAGAATTTTTCCGATTTATCGAAGTTGTTTGATCATGCATGACTATGTAATAGAGCAGGTACGGATCACCATGAGAGATGAACATCTCACCATCACTCACACTCACACCCAATATATATGTATAAAGTTAACTAAGTTTATTTCCATTAAAAAAAACAAAATACCATAAAACACGAGAAAGACATGATTACAAAAAAATTAAATTTTTGTTACACAAAACAGAAAACATGTTCTAGTAATTTATGAAATTATATTTTTTGGCAACTATTTGCCATGACTAAACAGTCATTAGTTAAAGTTAATTAAAAATAACAATACCATATGTTTTTTTTCTTTGAATACATTTCTTTAGCCGCCTCATTGGTGACTAAACCACAGGCATATGCTTTCGTGCTTTCGATGGTCACATTGTCTAGCTTGTCCTTCATTATAGTTGGAAAAGCCTGTTGTGAATCGGCTTTGACGAACTGAATATACGCTTCACCCAATACTTTTATTTGATCAGCTTCGTTCTAGATGCATTCCCAGAACGATCGTTCTGATCATCGGAAACGGCGTGTTAAATGGCCACCGTTTTAACACTATTTTGACCGTTTTCTAGAATGCCGCATTGTTGGCTAAGCCACAGGCATATGCTTTCGCGCCTTCGATGGACACATTGTCTAGCTTCTCTTTAATTAAACATGGATCAGCCTTTTGTGAATCGGCTTTGGCAAACTCCATGCACGCCTTCCCCAATACTTTTATTTGATCACTTTCCTTCTCAACGCATTCCATAGCCTAAATCAAATTTGAATAAATCATTACGCAGATGAAAAAACAATAAAAATTAATAAAATTTACCGTTTGTTCTTCAGACATTTAGTATGACAGCAGTTCTTACTTGTTATGTGTAAATATATTTTCTGCAACTACTGCATTAAGATATTCCCTTTTTATATTTTAAAGCACGGAATATAAATGAGATAAAATTCAACACTCAACTTTTTTTAAATTTTTGCAAGCTACGTGACTCTCTGTTATCATTTTAAATAAATAAACGATAAATGCATACCAATTCTTTTATCGTCTTGTTGCAAGGCCCTTTCTTGTAATTGAATCAGTAGAATAAAGGATAAATAATTCCATATACGAACTAACTGTTTGTACCACCTTTCCTATGTAAGCAAACACACATACAAAAGATATCCAGGACAAACATAAGAGAGAGAGAGAGAGAGAGAGAGAGAGAGATGAACAAAGAAAATAAAGAGGAGAAGAAGGACAATAATGCGTACCCCTTTATTTCTCGCCAAGCCGAACGAAAACAAAGACAATGATGTAATTTATCTTCTTGTAAGAAATAAACAAAAAAAATAGGAGAAAGGAACGAAATGAAAGACATATCCACAAGTATACACAATCAGACTTATACATACACACACGTGCACACACAAAAGAAGAAAAGAAGAAAAGAAAGAAAAAGGAAACAAACTAATAGTAATAATATTGTTAGAGTGCTCTCTAACACGTTTCGAGCTACTTATTGTCATCCAACGTTGTAATAAATAGACATACGGAATTTTTTTAATATGTTTATTTTTTATCGTCAAGTTTTCCATAAATTAAAACGAAAAATTAAAGACTGCCAGCACCCTTCTAATTCCATGCGAAAAAAGTCCTGTGGAATACTATACATGGACATCTTTGTCCATAAATACAACTCATAAAAAATTCGATTCTAGTCAACTTTATCATTAATATATTAAATTAATCTGATATATCGTTTTTGTTTATTTACCTAATTCAAAGCTTTATCATAATAATATATGTCTATGATGTCTACAACATATATAAGTGAATCATACTATTACATGAACTCTTTTCATGTACAAGAAAACGTTGACTTTTTCAAGAAACAATGAAAATTTGATAAAAAGAAGATACTCAGCAGATAAGAGGGTTTTAAAATTTACATTCTAAAAATTGGATACAAGGTTAACATACGAAAAACTACTTTTACAATTGATTTACTAATATCACTGTAAAATGTTTGAATTGAAATAAACTTTTTAATATCATCATATTAACAAGTATTAATTACTATCCAATACTGATTTTCAAAATATTCAGAAATAAATGTCAATTATTCAATCAATAAGAACAAGTAACGCTCATCCGAAGATTCGCTTAGCTCTTTCTCGTAGAAATCGTATTCTACAATACTAAACTTTTTGATTATATAGTTTGGAAAAATTAACACCAGATTTGTGTTCTTCCACCCCACTTACCCTTCACTCACCCCTTATCAAAAATGTTTTCTTATAAAAATTGGTTCTCTCCCTAAAAAAGTGATCCATAAAATTATTTTATAAAACTAACATCAGAATCGAAGTCTCCCCATCGAAATGCCCCAAAAATGTGTTTTCTAAACAATCGATTCTCGAACTACCCTCTGGTAAAACTTTCTTGGAACTATCTTTAAGATTAATAATATTAATTAATTATTAATTGATTTTTAACTAAAATTAACCTCACATTCGAATTCTTGGCACTCGATTACCCTTCGGTCAAAACTTTTTCAAAAACTAATAATTTCAATTATTAACTGATTATTAATTAATTAATTTTAATAAATCAATCTCAGATTCGAGCTCTCCATACTCGATTACTCTTTGATTCAACTTTTCTGAAAATATTTCAAAAATTAATAATATTAATTATTAATTGATTGTTAACTAAAAATAACCCCAGATTCGGATTCTCCACACTCGATTACCCTTCGGTGAAACTTTACTCGAACATATAATAATACTAATTATTAACTGATTATTAACTAATTAATTTTAATAAATCAATCTCAGATTCGAGTTCTCCATACTCGATTACCCTTTGGTCCGACTATTCCGAAAATATTTCAAAAATTAATAATATTAATTTTTAACTAATTATTAATTGGTTTTTAACTAAAAATAACCTCAGATTCAAGTTCCCCACCCTCGATTACCCCCACAGTCAAAGTTTTCCGGAAGTATCTGAAAAATTAAATTTCTATGTTTTTTTGACCCTGCGGACAGACAAGCAAGCAAGCAAGCAAGCAAGCAAACAATTTATTCTTGCTGGACTCTTCTCTTACGAGAAAGAGAATATAACATCTATCATACTTTCTATTACAATTTTAATTTTATAAATGATACAATTTAATGAAATTCAATAGAAAAATAGCAATGAAAAACATTTAATTCAGTGATAATATTAATTCTTATTTTTTTAATCGAATTAAAAGTTTAGAATTTATCTTAACTAGTTTATTTTGAAAACAATTTTTACAAAAAAAGAAACAAAAAAAGTACATTCATTCTTTCACTAAAAGCCAGGTTCATGACGAAAAGCAAATCCTAACTCATCACAGCATCTTTTTACTTGACTAGCCAGAAGCGTATTTCCTGTTAGAAAAACACTTGTTGATTTATGTTCTGCTTTAAATTTCGAAAATAAAACTTTCCATGGAGGTCGTCCAACATGTGTTGGTGTTTTCAAACCTGTATGTATATCATACTGTTGCATACCTGCATAGATATTAGCAACAAGATCATATGGAAGAGCTTCTAATGTTGCTTTTTTATTCGGTCGTAATGATGTACAATATAGATGCATATCTAAGTATCTTGATGTTGGTTCTGTAGAAATATTTCTAGTAGCAGCCATAATATTTAAGTAATTTTCTTGTGCATTTTCTATTTCTTCAAGAATATCACGAAAGCATGAGAAAGTTTCAATTTCACGATTAATCCAAAAAAAGTCCACTTTCTTAGGTTGTTGCTTTGATATTTGTGTATAATTATAACTGTTAGCATTACAACTAACACATACACATCGATGATTTTGTACACGTTGAGTTAAACTATCTAAAGCACTTATAGAAGGTGTCACTCCTATACCAGCACCTATTAAAACTACATGTTCACTATTAAATACATGTGATGTACAAGTACTAAATGGTCCTTCAATCCAAATGTCAGCATCTGGATCATTCGCTAAAAATGTAATTTCTTTTGATAATAAAATATTTCTTAAATTATCATTGGAATGATTATCAGCACCATCAATCGTAATTGCAGTGAGATAAGCACGTTTTGTTAAACATCCATAAAAATAATCATAAACTTTTTTTGTCCAATTTTTTTTCTTCATAATACTTATTCGAATATCTTGTCGTTTAGGTGAACTTGAGATTGTAAATGGATGCCATTCCATCTTTGCTGTAATTGAAAAGTAAAAGATTATTAATTTATGATTATACAATAAAAAAAAGAATAGTTACCAATCTTTGGAAAACATATATTAATATAGTTGCCTGTACGAAATTTGAAACGTTGTGGTCTTTCAATAATTAATGTTAAAATATTGTCATTTTCAATTCGAACTGATTTCAATTTAGTTCGACCATGTTGTGGTAAATATCTTTTTAATAAGTAAATTTTTTCGAAGAAAAGAAGAGTCGTCGGTCCAATAGCCCATTTCCAGAAGCTTGGTGCATGAATTATAAGAAGAATAAACATTGGCCAAAATAAATAATGAGTATATTGAAATAATAGATAAAAACCAGTTCGTTGTCGAATGAATTGTAATGAACAAATGAACATAATCAGAAGAAGTAGAAATAGAATATCACCTGTAATTGTGGCTGAATGAGCAACCCATCCTATTCCTGCCGCAGTTGTAAACATAGATTGACTCCATGAATTTACTAATGAAATAAATATAATAATTATATATGATAATACAAAAAAAGAATATTTACCTTCAGTATGTGTAGCAAAATTGATACAATGACCAAGACTATGTACTATAGCTGATATAAATAATGCTGTACCAACAAGACGATGTGCATCAATATGATCGTCAATGGGAATAATTAAAGTCAGACAATGTATTCTTCTTAACACTGACATTATTTGTTTTAACATAAGAGTTACGGCAACTGCATAATTGTAATTAACTAATGTACCACCAACATGAGCAATAATTTGCCATACAGTATTACTTTTAAGAATATAAATACGATAAAGAGATACATAAATAATCAAACCTATTGTGATTAATATATAGATGCCAAGAAATACAAGACGATTTGCATTATTTATTACATATGACCAAAATCGTTGATACCACATTAACTCATTCTCTTCTTCTCTATCTTGATCAGGTACACTGATAAGATAAAGAGATTGCAACGCATTAGGATTTCGTTGAAGAATCTTATAAAATCCATCAAAATTTAATTCTCGTTGTTGAATAGCATCATCATTTATTGGAAAGAATTCTTTTAAAAATATATCAATAACTTCTTTTTGATGTTGTTGGTCTCGAAATATTTTAAATTCCGATGTATAATTTTGATAAAACAAACGAATCTCTTCTATACTTATTAAATCATCATTATTATCATCGAATAATTTGAATAGAATAAATGATTTCACTGACATAGGTGAACTCCATAAAACTCGAGCTATTCGAAGAATATCTAGACCTAATATAAGATTTGCCTCATTTGTTAAATTTATATTAAATACCATTAGTAGTCGTCGACCTGTAAAAAGAAAAGTTAATTTATTGTAATATAACATGAAGAAAAAACATACTGAGCATGGCTTTTATTTGAAACAGATCACCAAATTTATCGATAGTAAATTTTTTGGAACGAATATCATCGTTAAAATAGGCACGAAAGTGGTCTTCATGTTGTTTTGATATGGGTTCATTATATAATTCTTTGAATTGTTGTCGAACCACTTGACCAATTGGAAGACTTACAGTATGTCTCAATCTATATGGTTAAAGAAAAGCATATATATATATAATTGTATACTCTATATGTTCAGTAATAAATATGCTCATAGAAAAGATCTATTCATTAGACACTTTCAGATAGTCAATCTGTTTGAAAAAAAATGACTCACCAAAAACTAGACTCAGGAAAATTCAATCCATTATAGTAAGATGCAGATAGTAATACTTACGAAGTTGTTGATTTTAAAATAGAACTTAATATTGTTGTCGGCGGATTGTCATTGTCTGAAGTTTGAGATATAGGAAGCGGCACAGTGTCATCGGGAATTGATTGATTCACTGCATCACTGACCCTGCTGATAATCGATGTATGTGCATGTCGACTACAAATAAAAAATAATTAGAAACTATCCAATGTTTATCCTGAGTTTCTTTGATATTGGAAAATATAATGACTATTAAAGTCTTCGAGTTTAGTTTTACAATAAGATTATTTTCGATTTATTTTAATAAAATCGAAAAACAAAATATAACTTACTCTCGTTCCATTTTCTTCGTGATGATTCAGTTGATAATAGATTGATACTAACTGTCCACAGTATATATATATATATATATATATGAGGAAATGTGAAGAAAATACCAACATGATTTTTAAGTTTTCGTGATATACTACTTCCTTTCTATAATGTGATTTTGTCAATTAGACGTTGTACTTGTACAAATGTAGTAGCTTTTTTTATCATACATAATCAACAATGACGTCATAAATTAATGCATTACATTAAAATCACACGATGACGTATTTTGTTTTGACGAGTTAGTAGTAATATGTTTACGCATGATTATCGTAAAAAACATAAATTCGTCATGTTATAGAAGCTGACAAAATTTTTATTTCCAACTTCTTGCTTCCTACTTTGATAGTATAAATACAATAAATTTTAACATGTCTTGTTATTACATTGAAAATATTCAAAATATCATTTCAAATGAAATTAACTCAACTCCTTTGCTTTCTTGTGATTCTTGTTGATGTTTGTGATAGTCGACGCAGAGTTACGACTACTAGTACAACTACAACGACACTACCACCTACAACAACAACTACAACGGCACTACCATCAACAACAAAAACAACAACGACAACAGTCACAACAACTCAGGCACTAAATACATCAGATCCATTAGCACTTTCACGTTTAGAATCTATTAAAAATTCAGTTAATGAACTGAGTCTTCTTTCAAAAACAGTACCGTCTGATTTTATCTTTGACTTTGATAAAGCTGTGACAGGTGTTTCACTCAGTAATGGTGGTCGTACTGTTGCAGCAACTGTAAGTATTTAAAATTCTATATTGATTTTTGAAAATTTTTAAACTAAATATAATTTAGGTTGCTAACTTTCCAGGCTTAATCAATCATGGTATTGCAATGACAGTAGGTTTTTTGGGACCATGTGGAATTAATCTTCCACATACACATCCACGAGCAACAGAAATCAATTTTTCTGTTGATGGTGATTTTCAAGTTGGTTTTTATCAAGAAAATGGTGCAACTTTTATTATGAATGAAGTACATAAAAATCAAGTCGCTGTCTTTCCAAAAGGTGCTATTCATTTTGAACAGAATATGAATTGTACACCAGCAACATTCGTAGCAGCGTTTAACAGTGAAGACCCAGGAGTACTAACTATTTCGAATGCTTTTTTTGGTTCAATACCAGCCACAGTTGTTGGTGCAAGTTTAGGTGGTTTAAATATTTCAACTATTGAAGACATTCGTTCAAACCTTGCGAAAAATCCATCACTTGGTATTGAAGAATGTCGTAAACGATGTAATTTATAAACTAACAAATATATTTATTCATTTTTAATCTTGATTAATTGTTTAGATTTTATTTTACTTTATTTAATAAATAGAATCTAGATGTCTATACATAATATTTCTACTGTACATGAACTAACGTTCTATATTTGAGAATACTAATAAAAAAATTCAAATTTCATCCATACAAAGATACATAAATGAAAGAACACACAGTAGATTAAAAGAAGATAATGAAATTTCGACTACTTCCTTTTCTTTTCTCGCCGGTTGACATTATTTTTCCTGATGATAATGATGATGATGATTTGCAATATTTTAAACGAATAGTCATGCTAACAACATCCTTGTATATATCGTTTTAAAAAAATCATGTGCAAAACGTAATGAAGCATAAAATACCTATATTATATGAAGGAAAGAAGAAGTAATATATGTATATCTCATCAAATATCTATACAACAAAGTAGAAGAAAGAAAAGGACAAATGGTGAATCATAATAACACATTTCGGTTTTTATACTTTCGTATTAAAACTTGACATTCATGTATTTCAATGTCTATACGATAAATGATAAAATCTTTTACTATTTTTTTCGTTTTTCTTATTGATTCATGAAATCTAATTATTGATCCTACTTATGACTGAAATCATCCTTTTCTCTCTATTAATTATATCATCATATTATGGAAATATAACTTGAAAAGGTATTAATTTAGTTCAAGTACGTAACAATACATCTATATGTATGTTCACTGTATATAATATGTCGTAATGATACTATGATGCAGTTATATATCTATGTTAGATATTACGACAGAATACAATTTGGTTTAGTGTTATAAATGACTAATAAAAGGTTGTATATGGATTACATTATGTCGCATAGATATTCTTGTGAAATAAGTTCATTCTATCTCATGACTTATATAATCTAAATAAATGTAGAGAATGGTTTAAACAAATAAACATTCTAGAGTGATTTTAACCTTGATAAAATTTTAAGAAATATATTCTTGAAACTATTTATTGAGCATTAATAAACAAAGCAAATGACTGACATGAAGACAAAAAATACTAAAAAATAAAAAACCAAAGTCTCTTTATTTATATATCTGTTATTTCTTAATTCAAATTAATTTGACTGTTGTTGTTGTTGTTGTTGATATAAAAATCGATGAATATCTTGAAATATTGGTCTTTCATGATGATTAAGTTTTAAACAAGCAAACATTAAATCAATTAATTCATTTAATTGTATTTTATCAATAAATGTTATATCTAAATGTGTTGATAATGGTGGTGATAAAAGAATTTCTTGATCAGATAAATGTGCAAATGGAAGTATTCGACATGTTGTTAATATTTCATATAAAGTTGTACCAAAACTATAAATATCAGACTTTATTGAATAACCATTTCCACCATTCTATTGACAAATAAAAAAAATAAAAAGAGCCAAACAAAAGAAACAAACTTACTATTAATACTTCCGGTGACATCCATCGAACAGGTAAATGTGCATCAGTTGTATAATAATGTGAATAAATTGGTGATGCCATAGCAATATCAGTTAATTTAATCATATAATTATTAAATACTAAACAATTTCTTGTTGAAATATCACGATGTATTAATTGTCTTGATTCAAGATAAGTTAATGCATTAGATATTTGACATGTTACAAATAACATTGCTTGATGACTAGAAATAATAATAATAATAAACAAAATTCATATATCTTATTTAATTAAATACATACTCAAGTCGAGCATTCATATCATTCTCAGTAATACGTCTCATTAATAAACATAAATCTCCAAGTTCTGTATATTCTGATATCATTGTAAGACCATCAAGTGTTTTATAAAGAATATTAGCTAGATTTGGATGATCAATTGAACATAATACTTGACTTTCTTGATTGAACAATGATCGAGACATTGTTGAAACTTTTGTTAAACGTCGAATTATAACACGATTATATGAATATATACAACCGAT